CCCTAAACCCATATGAGCCATAATCTAAACTCCTTACAGGGGGTTATATAGGGGATTATATATTGGACTACTATAGGGGTTATTAAGGGGGATCCTAGGAGTTTAGACAATGGCTCATATAATCTTAAACCCTTTGCAAGCCCTTAGTCCGAACACCGAAGCCCTGAGCAGGACGTGGTGGAGATCCGATGCCTCGAGAAGTTGGAGGTGCAAGGAAAGCGAATGGAGGAGGCCTTTTAGGGTTTAGGGTTTAGGATTTAGGGTTTTAGGGATTAGGGTTATTTTACGGTTTAGGATTTAGGGTTTTAGGGTTTAGGGTTTAGGATTTAGGGTTTTAGGGTTTAGGGTTTAGGATTTAGGGTTTAGGGTTTAGGGTGCCTTTTAGGGTACTTTCAACCTGGAGGGGGATTAAAATATTTCGGGATGTAGGGGTTCATGTTCAGGACTTGGGCTCAAGGCTTTAAGGCTAGGTTGGCAAGATTTTTTTAAAGTCTTCGTGGGCGTCCACAAAAGCTGGGCTCATGCGGCGTTTCTACGCCGGAACGCGTGATTGATGCGGATAATCTTGCAGCTCACATAAACCTAATGTGGTGAGACGGCCCAGTCTAGTGGGGGTTGTGAAGACGGTCAACCCACTAGCAGCTACACTGTTAGTCTGTGCAACCCCCATACATCTGCTAAACCTGCGAATGCTTCGGAAGGTGGCCAATCGGCTCCAGCAGTTGGAGGACACGTCCAGAAGCACCCTGCACCAGGTCAAGCAGGCAGGGTTTAGCGTGGGGGAGTAGAATCCCAAAGCTAGAGAGTAGGTGAGATCACTCGTTTTTGAACCTTTTTAGCGCTTCGGGAGGTTTGGATTTGAAGGTTTGAATGAATTCAGCAGCCTGATTTGAGGGCTTTAGGGTTGAGTTTGAAGAGGCGTGGATTGTCATCCGAGGCCCTAGACTCCAAGAATTTCAAACTCCCGACCAAACTTTGAAGCACGAATTAAGCTGAAGAGCGTTGTGTAGGTTCCGGACCTCGAGAAGCGCACTGATCGATTGGAAGACTGGGAGAAGTTGCTCGGCTGGTCCAAAAGCTTTCCCATCTGGAAACTGGCCAAATAATTGTTTCCATTCTAGAGGTTGGTAGTGTGGGGCTTAGGGTTTAGAGCTTAAATGAACCAAAGGGAAATTTCACTGGTGCTGCGCGGAATGCATGGGGCTTGAAAGATAAGGCGTTTTATGCCTTCACCTTGGCGATCCCTCTCTATCAGGAGCTTACAGATGCTTGATCAGGAACCCTATACGTAGTCTTGAAGGATAGATATCGCAAATCCTTTAGTGAGGTGTATCTAGTTCTGGGGCGTAGGATTCAGGGTGTAGTGTTGCGTCGTCTTCTCGGTTTTCATGTCTTTGCATCAGTCATATGGACCCCCAAGTGTTGAAACGCCGCCGAAACATTCCCGCGATTGTCCTGCCCACTAACTCAGTCTGTAGACTCGAGGCAGCCAAACCCTCAAGTTAAAGACACAGCCAGAATCCAAGAGCCCTACCCCTTCTTCCTAACCAACCAACATGTAAGCCTAAGGGCCCTACACCCTTGTACACAAGGACCCCCCTTAGAACCTGAAGGCGTGCGCTGCGCGTGGAGCAGCAACTGACAGAGGTCACTGAGCTGCTCAGCGCCAGCGATGCAGCTGCGCTCAGATCGCTGCCGTTCTCATGCTTAGCTGAGAGGATTATAGGGTTTAGAGGTTGTGAGTTGCAACTGCCAAATTGCTCCTCATTATTGTCGGCTATTGCCACTCATTATCCAGGCCACAACCGTTATGTATCTGCTTCCTCCAGCAGCAATAGTTATGCAGGTAGTTTTGCCACATGTGGTAAGACCCTTCAGTCACATTTGTGCTCTGAACTTGTACTCCTCTTGCGTGAATCTTTGCATCATCCTTAACGCAGGATTGACTGACATCCTGCAAACCTTTTGGTGCACCGTCCTGGGAATCTCCAGGGCATTTGTATTTTTGAGAGACATCGCTATTTTGGGAAATGCAGTCCTCATTCTACAAGTTGTGATATGGATATGTTCAATGTAGCATTGCTCGTGATTGTTGTCGACAGCACGACGCAATTGCAGAACATAGAAGGTGGTGCGAGCAATGACACCGCCAACTGACAAGGGGCTAACACCAGCACAGCGTGTCATAGTAAGAAATGACAGCGGCCGGAATTGTCAGTCTGGCAGTCGCACATATTTGAAGGATGGATAGAGAATGAAGAGGTAGAAGCAGCCTGGGGATACACTCAATTACCCGCATGTACTGTAGTCTAAACTCCCTACAGGGGATTTCTATGGGGAGTATTCTAGTGTCTATCAAAGGGGATACTAGGAGTTTAGACTTTTACACACATGAGGCCCATGAACAACTTCGTTTGTTGGTAAGGAAGGCTTGACCGGACATTTCATGCAACATTTTGCCCGACGCCCTGGATGCTGAGACATTCTGTTCTAGGTCGTATACCCTCAACCTCTGGGAGCAGACAAGGCTTCCACTGAAGTGGGCTTCTAACAACCCTAGGCCCTGAACCTTAAACCCTGAATCTCCAGACACCCCAAATTGAAGCTTTTGGGCCTAACTCATCCAGGCCAGGCTGAAAGTCCTGAAGCCTCAAGATCTAATTGCTACTGACATCCTCAGGCAGATAGCAAAGACAGGAAACTCATGATCCACGCTAGAGCATTTCCCCATGTTCTGTCCCCATGTGAGTTCCCACGCCCTTACTCCCTGTGTACACACTGACATCCCACTTCGTGGGACATTCCCAAAGTCCCTATAGCAAGCATACATCCTCAAGCCTCAGCCATAGAGTTGCCGGTGAGGCCAAGCTAGGCCAGCAGAGCAAAGACTTGAAGCGGGAGCTCCTCCAGATGACCGCTGCTGGGCCTTGAAACTCTAAACCCTTAAACGGGGTTTCCCAAAATTAGGGGTAAGTACCTTTAACGGGGGATATAGGGATTGTATAGGGTATATATATATCTATATAGATAGATAGATTGGGTGTACGGTTTAGGGATTAGGGTTTCCCAAGCCCTAAACCCTAAGCTTTGAAATGAGGGTGCCCGCAGTACGTGCGTGTGTATGCATCAATCTGATTATGATGTTCTGGTTTGCAAAACATTAAGGTAGATATGGGGCCGATTGTAGGGAATGCAAGGGAAATCTCAGAACGAGTTGACCCAGTGAGCCGCTGCGAAGGTTCGATTTAGGATTCCGACTTCAGGGGCTGTATGGGGACTATGGTCTAGGCTAGGGATTTTCCCCAGTGATCGTGTAAAGGCCTTACGGGGGACCACCTGTGGTTTAGGTTTGGCTGCATGTAGAGACCTGAAGTCACGCATTCATGGAAACTGTCTCCTTACGATCCCTTAAGAAAACCTATGGAATGCTCAGTACAAATCTAAAAGGCACATGAGCAATAAGCTCCTTGAAGGGCAAGGGAGCCCCAGATGATCCCCTTTAGAAGGATGGGAGTTTTTGCCCAACTTAAGTCTCCATGACAGTTGGAACCCTGAACCCCTAAACTCCTGGACCCCCCAAACCCTAAACCCCAAACCCAAACCCCTAAACTCCAAAACCCCTAAACCCCTGAACCCCTGAACCCCTAAGCCATGGGGGAGAGCCACGCATTCTGCCGAGGAGAGGCAGGCTCAGCTGGAACAGCGTCAGGTTGGGATGGCAGTTTCGGGTTTTTGCTTGCAACAGGGTTTAGGGTTTAGGGCGCGGCTATATATGGATTATATTGGGCAATTTAAAGCGACCTCACCCGACCTCATCCTAAATGGTGGCTCATAAAGGGAATTGTCCCAAAATTGCATTAAATTGGGAGTTGAAGAAATTAAAAACAACCTGGAAGATATGCGGTGTGTGTATATATATATATGTTATAGGGATTGCATGGGTTATATTGGGGTTGTTGCTTGAAATGGAGGTTATGGGTTTGGGGTCTAGGGTTTAGGGTTATGCTGGGGTTCTGTCAGGATTATAAAGGGTTTGTGGGGATAATGGAGAACACTATGGAGGCTAGATAGGGATTATATGGTTCATATAGGATTGCATTGGGATAATGGAAAAAGAAAACCACACCATGTTTGATTCGAGCCGTCTCTGGGAGACAAAAGGGAAAGCAAAACAGACCACATAGCCTCACCCGCGGCGCTTGAGGACAAATTGTATCCATTCAGTCATGATAAACACCCAATTCGTTGTCGGCTTCTGAAGGAGGGCCAAGGAACACTGAGTGACTTTGGAGGTAGGCTATGTCGAGCTGTCAATGCAGGTGTGCGCGATTTTACACATGTTTTAAACACTTCGGGTCGGAGTCTTTGAGTCACTGAGGGTGGAGATTGTGTTTTTTGCTTGTTCTGCTGGCGCGTGTCTTTATTCGCTATGTTGTTGCTGGTTGTTTCCATCTAGGTTCTCTACTTCCAAGTCGAGCGGCATTCTGACGTAGGAATATTCCGTGGGGATTGATCCCGTTTTTCATGTATCTGGTCCGCCCTTGGCGTAGGGCGACCACGAGCACAAGAGCCAGTCACTACAAAAGGCAACCAGGGCTCATGCGTGGGAGCTTTCAGGTTGACGGTGGTTGAGTGGTGTTCAGGTGGCCATTTAGGCGTTCAGGCATTGTCAAGGGGAATAGACGGCATGCAGGAGTGGCCTATAAAAAAGCTTTCTATTTAAGGGTGGAAATGGGCCGCAGTTATGAACGCTAACATCTTCAGCAATCTCCTTAGATGTAGTTTTCGTCTTGTTTTTCCAACCCCTGTGGCAGGAAGCTGCATGCTCAAGTTGGGGCAGCTGAAGACCCCTTCCCCTGTGCCCTTGTGCAGGATCTAGAGGACGTGAAGGAGGCACAGGGACAGCCGGGCGCTGAATTGTTGCATAGATTGTTTTGTTTTTTCTTTTTCGGCTGTTCTGTTGGGGCCAGACTTCTGTGAAAATCAACCCTACCTAACAAACCTATCTGAGCAAGTTGTACCCGGCCCAACTAGGCAAGAATCCCCAAATCCCGGGCGTGGGGCTTAAGTTCTGAACGCATGGAAGCTGACTGGGCCTTTTCTGACCCAGTACAGGGCATGAGTTGTTCTTTGAAGTCACTCCGTCTTCGGTATACAAGCCTTCAGTCCACCCCTTCCATTTTCGTCACTGAGCATTGGCCCTTAGCCATTTTTGAAAGATTGTACGCTCTTCAGGGCAGGCCAAGAGGTACAATATGTTAGGTGGACCCCCCACCCAGTATTAGTGACTATAAGGAATAGTAAGGATCATACTAGGGTCCTCTTATATTCCTATTATACCGCTATTACAGGGTGGGGGGTCCTCCTAAGCAATATGTCAAGAGTCTACAGGACTCAGGGCCAACTCAAGGCACCCAATACTTTGGCGAGTAGATTTGAGGGATGCGCGGGTAAATTAAGGGTAAGTTCCTAGGGCGCTGGTTGCCCTCAGATGTTGTTCGTGTAACCCCTCTTCACTAACAAGCCCTTCAAAGCCTTGAAGTTTAAACCCTACTAAACCCTAAACCAAAAAAGACCCTGTGCTCTGAACCCCAAATCACATGGCCCAGGCTGACGACCAGCTGCAACAGCGCCAAAGCCGAAATCAGCAAGCAAGCAAAGAGCCTAGGGCAGGCCACAACCTGAGGTGTTCCCAAAGAGTCTTAGGGAGGGGATTCTCTTTAAGGGTCTACAGTCATGTAAGGGGATTTGTAGGGTTATAAATAGGGATGTAAATATGCAAGGGTATGTGAGGGTAAAAAAAGTCAAAGGGCATTGGGTTGCATCAGGGGTTGCTGATTTAGAGGGTTTACCAAGTAATTGTGTAGGGTTTAGGTTGAGGGTCAGAGGTTCAAGGGGTTAGGGTTCAAGGTATTTGCGTTTGGGGTTTCTCAGGAGATGGTAGGGCTCACGGTTTAGGACCTTGGGATGTGAAGAATCCTCGTAAACCCCCAGCCCTAGAGCTTAAGGTAGGTCACTTAAATTAAGTTACCATAATGGGTAT